CTTATGATAGTCACACACAGAGAGAGAGACAGAGACACAGGCAGAGGGAGAAGCAGGCTCCATGCACCGGGAGCCCGATGTGGGATTCGATCCCGGGTCTCCAGGATAGCGCCCTGGGCCAAAGGCAGGCGCCAAACCGCTGCGCCACCCAGGGATCCCCCAATTTAGAAATTTTAAATAGAGGCATTTGGTAGGCAGGAAGAGTTTCAAAGTGAAGTTTAGAAAGCTTTAAAGAGCTTTTGCTTAAAAAAAAAAAAAAGCAGAAGGGACACCTGGGTGGCTCAGCGGTTGAGCGTCTGCCTTTGACTCAGGGCATGATCCTGGAGTCCCAGGATCTAGTCCTGCATTGGGCTTCCTGCATGGAGCCTGCTTCTCCCTCTGCCTATGTCTCTGCCAATCTCTCTCTCTCTTTCTCATGAATAAATAAAATCTTTAAAAAAATTAAAAAAAACACATATGGGGTACCTAGATGGCTCAGTCAGTTATGCATCTGACTCCTGATCTCAGCTCAGGTCTTCTCTCAGAGTAGTGAGTTCAAGCCCCACATTGGGCTCTAATTGGACATGGAATCTACTTGAAAATAAATAACCCACATATTTATTGTGCAAGTTCATTGTGTCACATTGGCTAGGTAATATAACCAGATATTTGGTCAAAACTTATTCTAGATGTATCTGGGAAGGTAATTTTTATTTTTTTTTATTTTTATTTTTTTAATTTTTTTTTTTATTTATGATAGTCACAGAGAGAGAGAGAGAAAGAGAGAGAGAGAGAGGGAGGCAGAGACACAGGCAGAGGGAGAAGCAGGCTCCATGCACCGGGAGCCCGACGTGGGACTCGATCCCGGGTCTCCAGGATCGCGCCCTGGGCCAAAGGCAGGCGCCAAATCGCTGCGCCACCCAGGGATCCCGAGGGAAGGTAATTTTTAGATGAGATTAACATTTAAATCAGTAGACTCTGAGTAAAGTAACTTATCCTCCATAATTTGGGTGGGCCTCATCTAATTAGTTGAAGGTCTTTCAGAAAAAGACTGACCTCCCAGGGAAGAAGAGAGATTTCTCCTAGCAGAATGCCTTTGAACTTGAACTGCAACATGAGCTTTCCCTATGTCTCTAGCTTGTTGACCTACTTTGTAAATATTCAACTTGACATCCACCATAATTCACATGAGCCAATTCCTTAAAATAAATCTCTATATAGTCGACCCTTGAAGAACACAGGTTTGAACTGCATGGATTCACTTAAATACGAATTTTTTTTAATAAATGCAGTACAGTACTGTAAATGTATTTTCCCTTCCTTATGATTTTCTTAATAACATTTTCTTTTCTCCAGTTTACTTTCTTGTAAGAATACAATATAAATATATATCACATACAGAATGTATGTCAGTCAGCTGTTCATGTTATCTGTTGGTCTTCCAGTCAACAGCAAGGCTATTAGTTAAACTTTTGGAAGGTCAAAAGTTATATGTGGATTTTTGACTAGGGGGAGTTTAAAGTACCTCAAACCCTGTGTTTTTTCCTTTTTCTTTTTTTTTAAGATTTTATTTATTTATTCATGAGAGAGAGAGAGGCAGAGGGAGAAGCAGGCTCCATGCAGGGAGCCTGACATGGGACTCAATCCCGGGTCTCCAGGACCACACCCTGGGCTGAAGGCGGCACTAAACTGCTAAGCCACCTGGGCTGTCTAACTCTGTGTTTTTCAAGGGTCAACTGTACATTTATATACATCTTCTTTGTTCTGTTTCTCTGGAGAATGCTAATACATATACAATAAATTTTTTATTAAAACTATTACCATGGGACTTTGAAGTCAGATTCATGTGAGTTCTGAATTGTGCCTTTGCCATGTTATTTAGTCTTATGGCCTCGGGTCCCCATTTCCTCATCTGTTAAAATGGATATGATAATCTGAAACCTCTCAGAACTGTTGTACAATTAAAGGAAATCATAGATACAAAGTAGTCGGCACAATGCTTAGCACAAAGTAATACTTCAGTAAGTGCGGGCTATTGTTATAGTCATTGATATTACTGCCGCTTACAATAAAAACAATTCTTTTCCTAAACTTTTTGCATAGGAACAATTTAGGGACTGTCACTTTTAGTCTTCTCCATGACTCTTTGAAATGTGTTGATCACACAGCATCCATCTTGGTTGTATATTTAATTTTTTTTTTCTCGCAGTAAGGAAACTAATGGTTACCACTTACTTGAGCTTCTGTAATTTGCAATTTGGGTCTTTTAAGCCTTCACAAAGCAATTTCAAAGCCAAAGCGTCCAATTTTGTTTCACTGAATTCCAGATCAGTGAGCCACTGGCTGGTGCTAAGAACAGCTGCCAGTGCCCCACAAGAAGCAGGAGAGAGAAGGCATCGGTACAATCTACAGTGAAGAGAAGAATGACCTCATTATCTTGCTCATGCGTAACCACCCCATGCAAACAGAAATTGACAAAAAAATGCTATGAACACAGACAACAAATTTTCCTGCTATTAAGTTACCTCAATGTCTGTAAGACACAGTTTGGCTTTCTTAATCCTTCACACAGAAGCTTCATTCCTGAATCTTCCAGGGTATTTTTTACAAACTCCAAATCTGTCAAATACTGGTTAGTTTCAAATACTAAAGAGAGGTCCTTACCACAAGAAGCTGTGAGGTGGCAGAAAATCAGTCTGTATGGAGAAAAAGACATTTTAGAGAAGAAAGAAAATAGGACTCTCTTTAAAGGTATCTGTTTGTACCTTACAGATGTAATTAATTCTTTCAGTCCACTCAGCAATTAATTTTTTGAGTGCTTACCACTATGCCAGATGCTGAAAACACAGAAATAATTAAGACTCAGACCTGGCCTTGCAGGAATGTCCAGTTGATGGGGCAAAAAATCAGAAAATCATGGATTATAATACAGTGTGAAAAGTACTGCAAGTGGTATGCACAAAGTATCATGGGGACACAGAAGGGTGGCATAATTCAGCCTACCTCAGGATGGGAGTTGGAGGATCAAGAAATAGTTGTAAGGGAAAGAAATACTAGAGCACTGCTGTGAAAGGGGAATATAAATTGAACAGGAGTTAGGTGGATGAAGAGAATGGGAGCAAGGAGAACAGGAAAGGCCAAGGGACAACCCACTCATGGAGCATCCTGTGCAAAGTCCAGTAGACAAGTGAGAGGATGTTTTGTTTGAGAAACTGCCAATTACATCTGACCCTTGAACAACTCAGGCTCTGACCTCCACACAGTTGAAAATCTGCCTGTAATGTTTAACTTCCCCCAAACTTGACCACTATTAGCCTATTGATGACCAGAAAGAAGCCTTAACAATAAAATAGTCGGGACATGTGGGTGGCTCAGCGGTTGAGCTTCTGCCTTTGGCTCAGGGTGTGATCCCAGGGTCCTGGGATCGAGTCCCACATTGGGGTCCCTGCATGGAGCTTGCTTCTCCCTCTGCCTGTGTCTCTGCCTCTGTCTCTCTCATGAATAAACAAATAAAATCTTTTTAAAAAACACAATAAAATAGTCAACTAACACATATTTGTATGTTATACATATTACATACTATCTTATCGTAAACTGGAGGAAAAAATGTTATTAAGAAAATCATAAGTTAGAAAAAATACATTTATAGTACTGTACTGAATTTATTTTAAAAATCCACACAGGAGCAGCCCCAGTGGCCCAGTGGTTTAGCGCCACCTTCAGCCAGGGGTGTGATCCTGGAGACCGAGGGTCGAGTCCCACATCAGGCTCCCTGCATGGAGCCTGCTTCTCCCTCTGCCTGTGTCTCTGCTTCTCTCTCTGTGGGTCTCTCATGAATAAATAAATTAAATATTTAAAAAAATAAAATAAAAATCCACACAGAAGTAAACCTCCACAGTCCAAACTCCAGGTTGTTCAAAGGGTCAACTGTATTTGCTATGGCCTATCTTAAAAGACTAGAACGACATATATAGCTCTCAAACTATTAAGTAGTTATCTTCTAGGTTAGGGAAAGGTGAGTTTACAGGTATACTTTCACATTATAGGTATTTAAAAATTATATAAAATGATCACAAGTTACAAAAAATAGTTTAAAATTTTTAAAAAATGTGATTAATATAAATAATTTCTACAATAGACAAAATATAAAGAGTAAAGTTTTTATGTACAATATTCCTACCACTCCAAAATAACCACTGCTGTTAGCATTTTGGTATGTGACTTTCCAGGTTTTTAATGCATGCATACATATAGAGATATATGTTCCTTGTAACAAATGAAATCATAGAAGATATATTTTAAAAAGATAGAATACTTTTTCTAAACCTCCTCTCCAACTCCACCTCCTAGAGATGAGAGTCTGGTGTATGCCTTCCCACTCCTTTCTCCAAGCTCATAGAAACACACACACACACACACACACACACACACACACACACACAGAATTTGTATATTTTTACAAAAATGTGACCAGAGAAAACATTACATCAACTTTATATGCACTTTGTCATTCAGTTCTCACGGTGGGCCCATAGGTAGAAACTAAGATTCAATTATAGCAGAACGTCATATAGTAAGCGGCAAAGCAGGATTACACCTTAAGTCTGTCTGATTTATCCAGTGGCTTCAGAAAGCCATTGGAGGTTTAAACTCACATGTTCAATTTCCTCTGATGTCTGGGTAGGCAGGAGACAAACCAGGTATCAGACGGCGGCGGTAGTCCAGGGAAGAAATACAGGTTGGGGAAGCTGGACTAGGATAGTGGGAGCGTGAAGGTGGACAGAATCGAGACTTGGTTTCCGGGTGAAATGGCCAGAATTTAAGACCGTTTAGGGCAACTACAACGTTCAGTGCTGAGCCAATGGGCGATAAAACTGTTCCCTGGCTCCCCCCTCTTCCTCTAAGGGATATGAAAGGTCACTGAGCGATTGGGGCTTCTTCTAGTTCTAGAACATTCCATTTCTAGGAGGCAACGGCCCCTTGGCGTGGGACAATCCATTATGGAGGGGGGGGGTGAAACTTCTTGTACTCAATTACCAGTACTTCACGGTCTCGATTCTAAGTCTTTTCTAACCACTCCTATTGTTTCCCACCTTCACTGACTTTCACCAACGTAGCGGATTCTCTTATGTCCTGGCATTTGGGAGGAACCATCCTCAAAAATTCCCTCCCCCCCCACTGTCTCTGGAAGTTGGAACAGTCCCAAGTAAAAGCCTCGAGGGTTGGCCCCAAGACTTCCTTTTCTCGGAGCCCTTGGAGGCAAAGGTGCGTTTTCTCTTTGGGTTTAGTAGGTGGGCGTGGTTAGCCCCCCCATACTATCTGGTCTCCACTGGAGAAGTGAGGCTTGGTGGGAGGTGTACTAGCGTGGGGCAAGCCTTAGGGGACCTCTAAGAGGATCTGAGGGAGGAGGGGCAGGGCAAACTGATGGGAGGAGACCCGGCTGAGGTAGGGGCGACATTGGGGTGGGACGGCAGGGGGGGCTGTGAGGGCCCCCGCAGAGTGGACACCTGGTTGATTCATTTCCACAGGGCCAGCCAAACCCCTAAAGTACTCAGTCATCATGGCCTTGAAATCTGACGACGCCACTGGTGGGTTCCAGCATGACAATGTGGTAGCTTTCATCAATGAGAAAATGGCTGGGCACACAAAAGGCCCTGAGTTCTACATCGAGAATCTATCCCTGTCCTGGAAGGAGGTGGAGAACAAGCTCAGGACCATCCTGGAGGACACCACAGTGTCCAGTGAGGCCAAAGAGGCCTGTGCCTGGAGCAGCCTGGCCCTGGGCGTGCGTTTCGCCCGTAGGCAGGGCCAGTTACACAAGCATAGGGTACACTGGCTGCACGATTTTGCCAAACTACATAAGTCGGCAGCACATGCCTTGGCCTCAGACCTAAAGGAATTCACAGAGCAGCAGGAGATGGAGCGCAAGGAGGCAGCCTTTCGGCTGCGGCTGGCCCAGTCCAACCTGGCAGAGATGCAGAAGGAACGGGATCTCCTAAGGTGGAAGCTCTTCCAGGTTGTAGGATTATCTTTACTTGATCCCCGCCCTGTCTCCCTGCCCCACCCCCAGAATGGATCTCAAACCTGCTCTCTTCTCTCCAACAGCTGGGGTCTACCCAGGAGCGGGGCGGGGTCTCAGAGGAGCCAGGCCTGGCCACTGCCTGTGAGACTGGGACAGGGGGAGCAAGTGAGGAGGAAGATGAGGCCGGAGCTGCTGCTACTTCTACTACCGCTGCTGGTGCCACAGGAAGAGGAAGAAGAAGACAGAAGGATGCAGAGGGGGCAGAAACTGCAAAGGCGATGAGTAGAGGCCTCATGCAGCTGCTGGGAGCTGTGGAGCGGAAAAATTACACCACTGGTGGGCAGAGGGAGGGAGATCTCAGGTCAGTGGAAACAGCCATGTTTTATTTCTCTGGGACCCTCAAGCCTGGGTCCAGAGTCGCACCATCGCCCCTTCCTGTCCAGCTCCCTGCCTCATTCACATACTCCTACTCTTGCCCCTCATCCCCCTTCCCGCCTGCACCCGCACCATCCCCACCAGCAGCAACATTCACTGCAGGAGCTCCATTTCCAACATCTCCACACTGGAAGCCCTCTGATGTTAGCGTGTGGTCTGATGCGGGGTCCCAGGGAACAGGAACTCAAGAATCCCAAAGAGACAGGAGAGACTCTGAACCCTATCAGCAGAGAAGACCTCCCATATTTCGCAGGCCTGGGGATTGGGACTGCCCTTGGTGTAAAGCTGTGAATTTTTCACGGAGGGAAATCTGCTACTGCTGTGGGAGGGGAATTTGGCTGCAAAGCCCTCAGTAAATTCAGAAATGTGAAACAGAACAGAAACCTGTCCTAGTGGGAAATCAATTTTGGGGAAAGGTGGGGAAAGGAGGGAGGGAACTGGGGGTTGGCAAGGGATGAATGGGAGAATGAGGCTAAGAGAGTGCGAGGGAAGTGGGGTGGGAAGTGGAGAGACTGTAGATTGACAGAGATAGACATATTTTATATTTTGATGACCCCTTTTTTGTTCCAGAGTATTAACATTCCACACCCCGGAAGCACCGTAGCTTCTTAGTGTGTATCTCTCTCACTAACCCTAGTATCAGGTGGACCTGAGCAGCCATGTATATGACCAACTCACCCTTCTTCCCACCTAGGCTATATGATTGGAGCAGGAATGGACAGGATCTCACACTAGAGAATCTGAACAGAGAGGCAGATTCCATAGGTTGATGCTATGGAATCAGTGGGTCATTTGGAATTAGGGTCAAGTTCAGAGTCATGAATGCCAAGGCCATAGCCAAGGCCTGGCCCTGGCTGTCAGGGAACAGAACTGTGCACTTAATAGAAGCCAAGTTCTTAGAGGATGCCGGAATGAGGTCCCAGGAAGCAGAGAAGGTACAAAAAAGCACAGGAATTGATCTTCCAACTCCACAGATGGAGAGAGTGGTGGCATGACCACTTTTCCACTTTCTGCAATGGTGTTACATGAAAATCCAATCTGCACAGATCCCCATTGCTTTAAGCTAATTTGAGTGGGTTCCTGTTCTGGGCAACGAGATTATTTCCAAGTCATAAATGGGTACCAGAAAAATAGTTACACACCACAGATCAAAGAAAATGTCAGAACTGGCTGGGGAGGAGTGTCAGAAAGTTATGGGTAGTGAGGATGCCTGCATCCCAAGAGTCCCCAGGAATGAACCAGACAGGAAGCTTGTTCATGTTCTGAACATTTTTTCTCAAGAAATAATCAAAAACAGACCTGGGGTTAACTCTGGGCTTACCCAAAGATTTGCCACCCCTAAGAAACCTATCGGGACTACAAACAGGAGATACCATCAGTAGCTGCAGACAAGGACTTCTATGGCTGTATATAGCTACACAACAGGAGAACCCTCCCCATTCCCCAATGGGAGAACTTGGAACTCACACCACTGCCAAAGAGGTGAGTCAGCAACTTAGAGTGCCCAGATGGTTTGCCAGTTTAGACAACAGACCAAAGTATGATGTTATCCTGAGGGATTCCCTCCCCCAACCCATCACCAGAATAATAGTGGGAGGGGGAATCTGGCTACAAAGGTCTCAGTAAATTCATGAATGTGAAATAAACATATCCCAAAGGGAAATCAGTTTCCAGAGAGGGGGGGGGTAAACTGGGAAAAGAAGAGAGAATGGTCTTTGTCTCCTTTCTCATGATTAAGTGGTGTTGAGGGAGACCAAATGTATGGTTTAGCCCACAGGTGGAAGGATGGTGAAGTGTCACACCTAGACCAGAGTAAGACAACACAACAGGAGGAGCCCTGGATATCACCCAGGGTCTATGGGTCTAGAGCCTGAAGCTGTCATGGCCCTGGGATAGCTTTACACCAGCTGGTTGTGATTCTGGGCTGTCTCCTATTGGGGCAGGTGTGGACAATCATCAGGGTTGGGGTCAAGGTCCCTAACCTGCATTTTCAGAAATATCTCTGGGCTTCTTTACGTCTTTCTAGGACAGGGTTTCCCAGCCTCATCACTCTCGACACTTGAGAATGAATAATTATTTGTTGCAGGGGGCTGTCCAGTACACTGCAGGATGTTTGGCAGAATCCCTGGCATCTACCCATTAGACGCCTAACTCTCTACCCCTAAGTTGGGACAACCAAAAATGTTGCCAGATATTGCTACTTGTCCACCAGAGAGCAAAACTGCCACTGTTTGGTAACCATGGAAGCAAGGAGGTCTTTAGGGATAGTGAAGATGGGGGCAGGGGAGGGGAGAAAGTTGCAAGGAGAGCATCCTCAGCAATGCCCAGAGCTACAGGGGAGGCCTAAGATAGATAGGAGGTGAAAAGGGTTCACTGGGTCTGGTATTCACTTTTGATCTTTGAGCAGATCTGGGCTGGGGAGGGACAGAAGCCAAACCACAAGGACTGGGGAGTAAATAGGAAGCAAGGAAGTGCAGTTATAGGGAGCCCTCTAAGGACTCCAGGCTATGAAGGGAAGGAGTGGGGGTAGGACACAGGGCTGAAAGAGAGTTCTCTGGAATGTGGGAGAAACTTGAACCATGGGGAAGGAAACAGCTGAAGAAAGCCTAAAAACATAATATATATAAGGAGATAGACTCTGCCTATTCTATTGGAGGCATTATCCACTGAACTATTCTTTTTTTTTTCCACTGAACTATTCAATGAAAAAAAATATGACAGCCAATTTTGTGTGTGTGTGTGAAACAAAACTCCCCAAAGTTCTGTAACTCTGCATATGTATGATATGTATATTATAGATTTATGTGTGCCTTATGTTCTAGATTAATGTTTGAAAAAGCATAGAAAAAAAGATCTGGAAAGACATTTAGCAAACAAGGAATTACCTAGTGAGGGTAAGATCAGGGTTGGGACAGTAAGCAGCAGGTGAGGTGCTGGGGATATAAAGTGGGGTGGGATTTGGGACAGTGGGGTGGAGGGCTTTTAGATTTTCATATATTTCTGTATTGTGTAAAGTAAAATAAATGCTTACAAAAATACCCAAAAAAGTGTTATTTACTGGCTTGGGTAGATTTGGAAAGGTCACCTCTTCCTCAGACAGGAGGGAAGGAGAACAGACACTGATCTGTGGTGAGGGATTTGGAAATAAGGGGGCTCCTGCTTGTGTGCTCCTGATGTGGGCTGATAAGAAGAAAGACACCTGAAAGAACAAGAAATGACAGTCACGGTGCGGGTGGGAAGCTTCTGAGCAATGGCACTCTGGGAAATAACTACAGCAGATGGAGGTGAGGCACCGTGGGAGAGAAAAAGATCACTGAGCAGCACTAAGTGGGATAGGACCCAACAAAGAAAACCAAGGAGGACGACAGTGACAACCAGGGAGAAGGGGGTAGGTCCAGGAGGTGTGCCAGACACAAATCTTTTGGATGTTTTAATCTGCCACCTACTCGCTATGGCAAAAATAGCACATACAAAAGGGGAAGAGGCTGGAGGGGCTGGCAGGGATCTGTGCCTGACTCTCTACTCCTTCTAGGTTTGTAGCATATCTTCTCAGTTGCTGTTCTGCTATGGAGAAGCTGAGCACTAGTTCTATTTTGCTTTCAGGTCTGGTCAGCTGGGAGCACAATTTCTAGCGGCCCCATCTCTACCTTGCAAATACCTGAGTATTATAAAGAGAATTTCAACTTACTTCAGGTCTTTGATTTTACAGTATGGATTACACAGTGCTTGGCAGAGCAATTGTAGCCGAGATGCTGGCAGATTGCACAGCTGTGAGGACCTAAAAGAGATGAAAAAGCAAAAATAATTTAAAACCAAATAGTTAAAAATTTAAGTAAAAGGCTAATTTTGGCTTCTCTTACCATACTAGTATTCATTTGCCTCTTCCAAAAGCCTTAAGCGGCATTACCCCATTTTGCAGATAAGGTAATTAAGGCACAAAAAAAGTTATGGTTTTTGCCTAAGGTCACATAGGTAGGAATAGTAGGAAAGTCAGCACTCAGGTCTCACTTCAAAGCCCAAGCTATGTCACTGTGTGTCAGGCACCAAGGTAAGCACTTGCCATATACAGATCATCTTAGCTGGTCCTCAACGCAATAATGGAAATTTTAATCACCATTTTGCAGATGGCTGAGACAAGTCAAATGACTTGTCCAAGCTATCTTTATAATACAACTATTGCTTGGTTGCCAGTACTAATAGAAAAATTAACAATCACCGAAAACTAGAAGAGTTCTTATGGTACTTCTATTTTTAGTTTTTTGAAGAACACCCAAAGAAAAAAACACTAATTCAAAAATATATATGCACCCCTATGTTCATCAGCCACATTTTTTATGGAAGGAGCCCAAGTGTCTACCAATGGATAAAGAAGATGTGGCAAATATATACAATGGAATGCTAGCCATAAAAAAGAATGAAATCTTGCCATTTTGCAACAATGTGGATGGACGTAGAGGGTATTCTGCTAAGTGAAAGAAATCAGAAAGACAAATGCCACACAATTTCACTCATATGCTAATTTAAGAAATAAAATGAGCAAAGAAAAAGAAAAAATAAGCAGACTCAAAATACAGAGAACAAATTGGTGATTGCCAGAGGAGAGGTGGGTGGAGGATGGGTGAAATAGGTAAAGGGGATTAAGAGTACACTTCTCTTGACAAGCAATGAGAAATGGATACAACCACTGAATCACCATATAGTATGCCTGAAACTGATACAACACTGTATATTAATTATACTCGAACAAAAAAAAAGCAACTAGAAAAGTTCAATAGTAAACTCTCAGTCACCATGCTTATGAAAGGAATATTTTCAGTTAAATTTTGAAGAAAGTTTAAGCCCTCTGATAAAGGCAATAGGGCTAAGACAGAGGCTTCATTTAAGGCTGATTTTCTGGAAATTCAGAATGAACCAGGGACCCCTTTTTGTTTCTTTCAGTGTTTAAAAATTCTCTATGTATTTGGCCATTATTTTACTCTACAATATACAGTTGGGTTGAAGCTGTCAAGAACTTGTCAAGACACAGTAGCCAAGGTCCTTGGTAATTCCAAGTCCATGTAACTTCTACCCCTTCCACTCTAGTCCCGAACATAACTCTTGCTGCACTTCCCTTCCCCTTCCCACTTCCCTCAAACACACATATCCCATGCTCATTTCTACCTCTATGCTACTGCCCAATGAGGAGATAAAAGCATCAAAGAAAAGACTAGGGTTAGCTCTCTCCCAAGTACAGATTTCTGCCCACTCGCTTCTTCTTAAGGTCCCCTACCCCTCAGCTGGTCCCACAACTAAAAGAGTTGCAATGTCCATATTTTTTCTTTTCTTTCTTTTATTTTTTTTTCTTTTTGAGAGACAGAGCACACAAGGGAGGGAAGGGCAGAAGAAAAGAGACAATCTTAAGCAGGCTCCACACTCAGCGCAGAGCCCAATGTGTGGCTCCATATCACAACCCTGAGATGGTGACCTGAGCTGAAATCAAGAGTCAGACACTTAACCAACTGAGCCACCCAGGCACCCCAGCAATGTCCATCTTAACCCAAGTACTGAGAACAGACTTACGACCAGTGACATTTTCTAGATAACACAGGTACAAATATTCTTGGCTGCTTTAGTCAGTAAGTCAGTGTAACTCTATTATTAGTATATAGAATCTGTATCATTTAAGTGGTTTACCTAAGCCTCTCTGAACCCTTTGTAAAGGTGAAGCTCTGGACCCTTTGCGAAGGTGCAAGCCTGGTAGAAAAAGCCCCAGCTTTACAGCAATATACACAGGAGTGCAGTTCTGGCCCTCACTAACCTGGAGCTCATTGAGGCCTCAGTGATGAAGTATGTGTAGAGGAGAGTGATGACCAATTCAATGTTAAGCTTACCACCTTTTCTAGAATAGTCATCAACACCAAAATAGCAGAGTCCTCAATGATAATCTTGATGACTTACATGCTCATAACACTTTATAATTATAAAG